GGAAGGAATCCCAATATCTGCAGACGGATTCGTTTCGGCCTTCCATGCCTCATCAGTGCAGCTAGGGTATAGACCCAAACGAAACGTTCGACCAGCTTAGGTAGGGCTGTGTATATATATTGCCTTGGTTTGGCTCTGTAATCATTAGTGGTCGTATCGTGGGACTAGTTTGGGCCCTAACTAAGCTGGTCGAACGTTTCGTTGAGTTTCGCTGAGTTAACCTGCCGGGCCGAGTTGACTGGGGCCTAGTTGACTCGAAAGCTTTGTATTTAGCGAGCGGTATTGTATTATTAATTGTGAATGCGTCATCGGCGTTCCATACATATACACGCATTGGTGGCCGTTTTGGAGGGCGGCCGCTATAGGTAGCGGCCGATATGGGCCTACTCCAAAGGGAACTACTGTACTAAAGATTTACAAATAAAACATTAAAAAAGCAAATTAAATTTTAAAAATGAAGGCATGTTGAAGCAATAACATTTCACTTGTAAAAAACATATTCTATGTCTCATTAGAAAATTTGGGTAAAAAGAGTTTTTGAACCAATAATAATAAAGCGTCAGCACTTCACTCATCAAACATGCAGGTCTCTTTTGGTAAATTGAGGTAAAAAGTTCGCCTAATGTGGGGATCGAACCCACGAACCTGAGATTAAGAGTCTCATGCTCTACCGACTGAGCTAACCGGGCTTGTACAAAAAAATAAACATTTAAAAAAATGTGGTTCTTATGCTTCAAAACTTTGATAAGAGAATTTTAGATTCTCCCCTGTTGGTTCGCAAATTAATATGAAAATACACAATGCAGTAGAACTCGAGCCTTCTTTGGGACTCCCCTGTTTAAGGGGGACACCTGTTATTGAGGGGACATTCTTTCGAGCAATGAACGAGGAAAAGGGGATATCTTTTTGGTCCTGAAGATGTCCCTAAAAGGGATTTAAACATTAAAAAAGCAAATTAAATTTTAAAAATGAAGGCATGTTGAAGCAATAACATTGATCCAAATTAGTGACGCCGGTAATAGTAAATAATAGTAAAATGAATATCCACATAATTGTTGAATGCAGGGACATATCTCTAGTAATACACTAAAAATCTTTACATGATATGACCCATATCATGTGTACATCGTGCTCAAGCGGTAAAGTACTAGTACGTAGCGTCCCGATTCAAGGAATGACGCCGGGACGGTATTGATAGTAAATAATGGCTACGATGAATTTTCCGAATTTGAAACATCTTACTTGAATCTATTATACTGTACTGTGTATGATGATGGTGATCAGGCATACAGATTTCAGGAAAAATACAAAAACAGTGTGGTGATTAATCCTGGTGTGATTAATCCTGGTGCTTTCTAAGACGGAGTCAACGTTAAGGTAAATCAAACTCGAAAAAAAAAAACTGTTCCAAAGGCATGTTTGCATACATTTTTATATAATTTAAAACATCTTACTTGAATCTATTATACTGTGTATGATGATGGTGATCAGGCATACAGATCATTTCAAGAAAAATACAAAAACAGCGTGGTGTCCCTGTGCATTTTTGCATACGTATTTGTGACATAGTTTTATGTACTTATTAAAACATTGATACAAACCAAAGTTGTCAGTTATTTCATTTGAAACCAGTGTCAGTATAATCTTAGGTAAGCATCTTGTTCACATAAGCAAGAATTTAGTCCAATAAAACTGTTCATCATCTTGATACCTTTCGACGAAAATTGAGCCTACCGGCGTCACTACGGCGTCCCCACCGATCGATTATGGGTTTTGTTTTTTTGTTTTTTTGTTTTTTTATAGATTATTGAGAATGGTAATATCAACGAAAAAATAGATAAAATGACAGTGGAATGACCAACAAAGACAACTGAAGACAATAGTTCGTCATTAGAAGTTATTTAGTATAACTTTATTTGGAAATATTGAAATACACGCCATCGTGTTGGGATTCAATATTTCGACATTAATTATGTCATCATCAGGAATGATTCCTGATGATGACATAATTAATGTCGAAACATTGAATCCCAACACGATGGCGTGTATTTCAATACTTGGAGTATGTATTTTACATTCTTATCTGAGATTAATCAGTGGACCTTTCGGTTTTTATTTGGAAAATTAATCTAAAAATCGAGTTGCCATCCCCCGCGTTGTCAGTGACGTCGTATGATTTGTGTGCGATTTTTACTAATTAAACCCCAAGTAAAAAATAGTTGAGCCATGTACAGTAGTACCTTGCAAATTAACCCAGACACCCTGTAGTTTGTTGATTGTTGATTAGTAGCGTCCCTTCGCTACAAATTGAGTCCCTTCGCTACATCGAATTAGTATTTTCATTCATCTGGCCATGCAAGTCGTTATACTTGTAGAATGCAAGGACTATATTTTCTTTTTCAGTGATATTTAACTTTCTCGCTTTCTTTTAAAAACAATCATTATTTATTATTCTTTAAAGTACCAGAAGTAAAGATGTGTATAAGAGACAGGTTATACCTAACGGTCAACAATTGTGGTTTTATGTTTTGAAACGTTAATAATAGAATTTTAGATCTTCCCCTGCTGGTTAACAAAATATGAAACTATACAATACAGTAGAACCCCTTCTTTAGGACTCCCCTATTATTAAAAGGACACCCGTTTTAAAGGGGACACTTTTTCGTGCAATGAACGAGGCAAATATTATGGTACATATCTTTTAACGGCCAATCCCTATTCAGGGGACACTGCAATTAAGGGGACATTTTTTTGGTCCCAGAGATGTCCCCAAAGGGTTCTACTGTACTATAGGTTTACAATAAAAAAAAACCATATTTAAATTCCATAAAAAAAGCAAATAAAATTTAATAAATAAGGCAAAAGCATGTTGAAGCAATAACATTTCACTGGTCAAGTACGGTAGGTCGACAAATTCTAATTGGAAAATCTGGATAAAAATAGTTTTTATTAATATGAAAATAGACAATGCATTAGAACTCCTTCTTTGGGACTCCCCGTTAAAGGGACACCTGTAATTAAGGGGACATTCTTTCTAGCAATGAACGAGGAAAAGGGTATATGTTTTTTGGTCCCGAAGATGTCCCCGAAAGGGATTTACTGTAACAGATTTACAAATAAAACATTATTTAAGTTCCATGAAAAAAGATAATCAAATTTAAAAATAAAGCAAAAGCATGTTGAAGCATTAACATTTCACTGGTCAAGTACGGTACATATTCTAATTGGAAAATTTGGATAAAAATAGTTTTTGACCAGTAAAATAAAGTAATATTTTCACTTGCAGTGAACTGATATGACAATTATTCACAAATAAATATTTACTAGTCAAGTCAAATCAAATATGCATTTATTTTCCATACAATACAGTAAGACAGTATACAATAAGAATGCAAATTAAAACAAATACATTGTATGGAAGGAGGCTACAGTAATTTCTAGTAGAGCTTTAAGACGTAGCCACCTTTAACAAAAGATTTGGAAAAGTGACTGGTACCAATGATTAGCTGTATTTCAACTAATATAATAACAGAATGATATACCAATAAAATTATATCCAATCCAGTTTTGAACACAAGACCAGACACATTATTTCAAGACTCAAATAGAAATGAGAGGAAGAAAAGAAAAAAGATAATTAACTAATTACCATACCCCGAGACCAAAGATTTCTTAAAATGATATTTAAAACTATTCAATGTAAATTTATTTGTTAGGTCATCAGGAACATTAGCCCATAATTTCGGACCCCAAAAGAGAACTGAAAAACACCTGCTCCTAGATGTGCACGGAGTAAGATAAGTATAATTGATGCTAGAAAATCTTGTATTATATTGATGATGTTCAGTGGTAAAGTATTACGCGGTAAACGATACATAAAAGCAGCAGTTTGGATTTTATTTAAATCATTTCATGTAAAACATTAAAGTGATTACTATATATTCTTGACAAGTGCTATAAAGAGCATAATTTTATGTGATATTTGAATGGTGCTTTTAACATACTTTCATTACTATTGATAAATACTATATTAATAGTTCAGGTTTTGTGATACTTGTATAAAGCAATAACTATATTTTATTTCTTGCTTTCTTCTTTTATCCTATATAGTAATTATGGGATATTTGATTGGTGTTTTTAACATACTTTCATTACTATTGATACATACTATACTGTATTGTTATTTTATCAAGTTTTGTGATACTTGTAGAATGCAAGGACTACATTTTCTTTTTCAGTGATATTTAACTTTCTCGCTTTCTTCTTTTAAAAACAATCATTATTTATTATTCTTTAAAGTACCAGAAGTAACCAAACATCGTAGGTAAATATGTTAATGTTTTTATTGTAAATTGCAGCCTCTTTCCTACTAAATAAAGTCAACTGTGAAATACGGTAAATCTTATACTAAGGTGATGTATGCAAAATTGGCTTCCGATTGGACTTAAGCCATCACTTTCATTTTGATTGGTCATTCAATTTAAATTTTTTCACTAAAGATTTCTCTCAAAAAAATCTATGCAGACCAATTAGTAACAACTCACTGTGCTGTTGATTGAGTACCAAACTCGTATAGTGTAACACTGTAGCAGGCATAGGCAAAACGATTTAGGCTACTCCAAAACTAGTCCCGGCCGGACCAATATTTATATCCGAACAAATTTCAGCCAAAATTGGTTCCCTGGACCGATTTTGGCGTGACAGGCCCATGTATGTAAATTAAATCAATTAAATCTTCATTAGTAATGCATGAAGTACTAAAATCTGGAAAATTAATTTTCTATTCTCTAATTCGATGTAAAAAAAACTGTTTCAATATTTGAAGCACGAGTCTGAATAATCATCATGAAATAAGCTTAAATTTGTTTTTTTATTTTAACTTTATTAATCAAAGTTTCATTATAACAATTTTGATATAATCCGGCTATTACACATAGTTTGTTATCCAAGTCTTTGTATTACAAGTACAATAAATAATAATAACATTTTAATTTTCGATAAAGTGGCTAACTATTGTTCAACTTCTTAATTAAATGGCCAACTTCATGGTTTGTAAGCTATCATTGCATGCATACTGCTATACCCCATGACAAACTGGCATCGAAAATTTACAAACCCATGCTGATCCAGCAATTGACGGTACTCTTCCTCTGTTCTTTCTCTCCCGCTCATCTCTGTAAGCATCTGAACGTTGGCTCGTAGCACATGCAAGGGACCAGTTTTAGTCTCATTCAAAAGCAGTTCTACTATCAAAACAGCGCCCCCTATTAATCATAAAAGTATGCATAATTATTAATAATAATTATCATTATCATCATCATCATAATCATAACTTTTTTAATCAGTTGGACGTAAACTTATCATTTCATCATCTGTTTACAGTGACACCACTGTCTTTAGTTATATTATAGTGTATGCCAATGTTAAGGGTCTTCACCGTTGATTTCTCTGTTTTTAACAACTGAATTTTTAAGGTTCTCCACAATATTTCTTAGGTTTTTTGGCCCTAGGCTTCTTCATCTTTTCTGTTTTATTGCTTTTTTAATGTGTCTGTTTTTTCTTATGATGATTCTCTTTTTTTTATGTATCAATATTTATACATATATTTTATTGTTAATCCAAGTGGCGGGTTACCCACTGTTGGGTGTGATTTGAAATAAAATAAAATAGAAATGTTCTCAATGAATGGTTTACTCTTGATCAATTTCGTCAAATATTGGGACTTTTCGGCGCTTAAATTTGTAATAATAATACCAAAGGTCTGCTTAATGGATGAAAGAAGCAAAACTTTGTATTAAAATCATAAAAAGTCCACAGAGAAAGTTTAATTTAGAATGAAGATATTTACCGATCTGAGCAAAATTGGTTGAATATATGTGCAATTTTGAAAGGATTAGAAATGTTCAGCATTATGTGAAAAAAAACCTAGGTATTTTGAAGATTTAATTAGAATGGTGCATTGTTGAAAATATACTTGTTTTCTATTATCAAAGTCTTGGTTTAATTTTTGGCAAAGACAGAATTGTTTTTTTCACGTACCAAACAAACCCTCTTATTGAGACTTGGCATTCTACTTCTGTTTTGTGTAAGCGACTGGTAATACCTGTCCCATGTGACTAATGAATAAAAATGAGATTTTTTTTTTCTTTTCTTTTTTCTTTTTTTTTTTTTTTTTCTTTTTTATCAAAATAAATGTGTTTCAATGAGAGAGAGAACACTCGGTTACAGCTATTCAACATTTGGAAAGTGACCTGAAGACAGCTGGTCAACAACAGGGACAAATAGAAGACGTGGATGAGAACGAAAGGAACACATCTGATAACATATAATCACAGACATAGGGTCTGTGATATAATCAACAACACCGGGAACAGTCCTACAAAATAAGAATATGGCTGAGATGGAAGCCTAGTGACAGCCACCCAACTAAAAGCATACTTAGAAGGTGGATGATGAGGGGGAGAGAATATGTAAATGACTGCTAAACCTGTCTCTTATACACATCTAGATGTGTATAAGAGACAGGTGTTCATCTATTTATAGAAAAAACACTAATGATATTTATCTATTTATAGAAACAGTTATTTTCTTACCAGATTCCAAAGAATGAAACGCCTTTTCTAAAAGTTGGTGAACTTTATCCTCTTCCCAATCGTGAATAATTCTTCCAAAGGTATACAAGTTGGCCTGAGGAAAGTCGTCTTTGAAAAAATCTCCGGCAATAAAATCTACTTTTAACATTTTTGTTTTTTCAGTTCTTATTTTTTGTGCACTCTCTATGGCAGAGTGTAGATCAAATACTGTTACTGAAGCGTCTGGATATTCAGAAGCTAATGCATATGCTAATGCTCCCGAGCCTCCTGTAATTAAAAAAGTTAACATTAAGTAAGTAAGATAGCTATATCACATCCAATAATACTGCTTCTGTTGCCTTTTCAAAGTCTCTTGGCCTCTCTAGATGAGTATAGCTTGCAGGGGGAGTGGTAATGTGGTACTAGACACAATGACCTTCCAACATAAACCAATGCCGAAAAAAATCAAGTACACAATACTCTGTTATTATCAAGATATATATATTAACATTATTAATTGAATTTGAATTAAATTATAAAAAATAAATTTATGAGCCAGTTGTGAGGTAAAATAATCTCAAATAATAATCTTCTACTCCAGATTAAGCTAATGGCTTCTACTCAATCACAGTATTTAGGGTCATGAATACTGTACGCGCACATCTCACAAACATGCAAGTTTACTTGCACTTACGTTGTCGTTTCGTGGGACCTTGGCAACAACATCCAAAAAAAAGGATCAACAGACAGAACTTTTGACGTAAAACCAGTGCATTCTGCCTACACATGTAATAATAATCTGTTACAACATAGATTCAATGTTGAAACTTCATTAGTTACCTCCTAAGTCACATATTCTTCTGAAAGGTGAAAGGTCAAACGATTTAGCAACACCCGGTGCCGTGATTGAAGACAAATCATGCATAAATTGAAGGAAAATGGTTGAATAGTCTTGGTCACTACTGTACAACGAATCAAACGTCTCAGAGGTAACCTATTTAGAATGAATTTTTAAAAATAAGTATATCAATCAATCGATCATTTTATTCATTGCAATTTAAATATGAAATATTTCAAATTAAATTTAAACATCGTATAATAAAAACACATCAAATATTAAAATTGTATAAGCATCAAGTAAAAATATCAAAATACAACAATAGATAAAAACACCAAATTTAGAAATATAAACAAAAAAAATTACAACCGCACTAAATGACCATCCGAGAAGATCGGAACTTCATCGTCCTTAGTGACATGAATGGTAAATAAATTTTTAATCCTGTTAGTTTTGAATTTTGATAGCTCTTTTAAAATTATCAAGTAAGTTATTAAATTCCAAAACAGATGGAAGAAATTTGTTCTATATACACGGCATCTGATACTGGGTGGAACACACTCCTTTTTCCATCTTTACTAATCCTCTCAAAGACTAAGGTGTCATCCATGCACTTCACACACGTCACCATTCCAAGAAGGATATTGGCAAAGGTAAAGAAAAGTATGGGCCCCATCCAAGAAACTTGTGAGACCTATTCATTATAGTGACACAGAAAGAGTTGAAAGCAATATATCTTATTTTACATCATATAGTAACCCCGACAACTCCAAACTTCACTGTTAGGTGGTCAATGAAGTCGTAGTATTACGAAAACCAATTAAAAAATGTCTAACCTCCCCTTCGCCTTTGACGGTGACTAAAACATTCATGTACAAATCTATAAGAGCATTGGGAGTAGAAACATTGGTTTTGGAGGATTATATCCTTACTCTTCTTATAAAGCATCACCAATTATATCGAAACCTTGTTTAATATCAAATGAGAGAGAGAACACTCGGTTACAGCTATTCAACATTTGGAAAGTGACCTGAAGACAGCTGGTCAACAACAGGGACAAATAGAAGACGTGGATGAGAACGAAAGGAACACATCTGATAACATATAATCACAGACATAGGGTCTGTGATATAATCAACAACACCGGGAACAGTCCTACAAAATAAGAATATGGCTGAGATGGAAGCCTAGTGACAGCCACCCAACTAAAAGCATACTTAGAAGGTGGATGATGAGGGGGAGAGAATATGTAAATGACTGCTAAACAACTTGGTTTGAGGGGTACATGCCTACAAGATATAGATAAAAAAGAGAACATGGCTCACCTCAAATCCAAACGCATTTTTGTAAGCCTGTGTATTATTTCCATCCTTGATAACAGTCCTCAAATTCTGGAATAAAGGGTACTGGATGCGGGAAGCATGGAGCACCGCTGCCACCATGTTGTTAGGCTTACTAGCTTGTAGGGCATCTGCTACCTCTGGGATATTACTGTAGATAGCTGTAAGAAAATGCCAAAGAAATTCATGTTATGCTAACTTAGCCCACCACTTTCAATTTCTCTCTCCACAATATAATTTAACTATAAACTCAATGTATTGCACCGCCATAATATCTTTATCCAGCCTAGCCAAAAACATAAAATATATTATAGTCACATTATTTCTATACCCAGAACTTCAGAAACTTATTATGCAAATTGTCTTGCACTTTGTCAATTAAAATCGATTTAATAATGTTATATTTATATAGGGCATATTGCACATTACCCCTAAGCGCTTTACAGAGAATAATATATAGGCCAACCGAGAAAATACAAATAACAATAAAATAATAACTATAAAATAAAAAAATAATAGGCCAAGGCCTAATCATCATAATAACAATGAGGCTAAACTACTCCTATTAATTAATGGTTGGCCGTTGACTCCGAGGAGCTCATCTGCCCGTTGTTCAGCTATTGGTTTTTCTTGCTGCTGGGTGACCATGAACACCCTCCTGCCACAAGACATAGAGGCCTACCTGAGAGGGTTGAGTCAGTGGGTATTGACAAACTGCGAGGCATGCGATTCATGCAAGCCATCTACCCTGGTGCAATTCATGCGAGGCAGAACGAACACGCTACAAATCCCTAAAAGTGACAATGTTCATATGACCTTCTCATCGAGTAATACTAAAATCAAACCTCTTCCTTCAATCACAAAGTGACTTAATTCAATCAGGTCAGATCATATCCCTCTCTGAGTCAAAAGTAATAGGAGTCGTGACGAGGCCTCGCCAACCTAAAAACCAACAGGGATTGTACCCACCTGCATGTTATTGACGTTATTGTTCTTAGACTTATTATGATAAATTAATAAAAAAAATAATAAATGAATACAATATTAAAATAGTATGGGGTTATTCTATACTTTTGAGGATTACCATAACCACAACTTGTGAACTATTATCTGTACAGACTCCCTAAAAATTAGACTTGCCACAAGTCTCTAATTTATGGATTTTTCGTAGTACATTAGCGCATTTCGGAAAGCGCCACCAGCGTCGGTTTATGTTGAGAAACTTTTTTGATGAGAATTAATCCCAGAAAAAGTATACTATGGAACGCCATGCAAATAAGTAATATGGAACGCCATTTGTGCCAAAATCGATTTATTCTTAAGCATTTCAACTGATTAAGACAAAGATTAGGGACTGGAACCCAGTCTACCTAAAAATGTGCCACACATAGCTCCGTCATCTTCTCCATCATTTCACCACACCCTGAATGCATTGATTTGTTATAATTTGATTGCTAATCATACCTTTGTTTTTATATTATTTGGCATTACAGACAGATAATTAAGTAAAATTTTTATATAATACAATAATTGTAATATACCTCATTATTCGAATAAGCACTAGGGAGCTCCCCGTAGGGGAGATAAACCACAATTCGACAGGAAGAAAAAAATATATAAAATTATATGTATTTTTTTACATATTAATAGACTCTAAAATCGATTAAATAAACCTTTGAAACCCCTAAATTGTGACTGTCATATTTTCGGGGAGCTATGCCACCTGGACCACTTTCGAAAGTTTTTAGTGACTTCAGCCACCCCACCCCATCCCCCACCCCCTGTCGGGAAAATCCTGGCGCCGCCACTGATCACAGCTATTAATTAAAACGACGATGAAGATGAATTATAATATGAATGTCATTTCAAGGAATCCAGAGGACACAGAACTAGGGGGTGCTGAGTTATGGAGAGAATGTGTGCCGGAAATGGTCTGCCAGTTGGTTGTTACCATGCGCCAGTGATGTTGGAGTACAGCAAGATGAAATATTTATGTAATGCATGAATGAAAAGTTCGGGGTTTGTCAGGCAGTAAAATGATTATTGTACATTTTAAGTGCTCCCTCTATGCATAAGTGTAAGCTAAATTACGGTGATTAATTAGCGAAGGAGACAATTATTTCGAAGTTCCCTCTTTCCAGGAGGGGATGCAAATTCTTTGTGAAAATGAGTACGCCGCGGTACTCATTTTCACAAAGGAATACACTTAGCAGGTTAGCTAACAATATGCAAATTTACACGAACACCTGGGAAAAAAGGTGCAATCACGTTCTGTTTCCTAGCAAACATCTGTACTGTAGTGTGGGGGGGGTGGCCTACTGATGTACTCTGTATAGCGGGGGGCGATGAAGCATATGATAGACCTAGGCCTAAACTGAGTAGACAGTGCAATTATAATATGTGATAGAAAGTACACTTTCGAAAGAAGTAAATTAAAAAAAAAATTAACTAGGCCTAGGGCCTAAGGATCATTCCTTTTTTTAAGTATGCTAACTATGCGGCTCTTAATGTAGCCCTAGCTAGGCAAGGCATTCATGTTGAAAGCAGTGGTGTTTGTTTATCCATGAAAAAAGCACGCCGGGAAAAAAACTCGCCGCCGGGAAAGCTTACCTTGAAAAGGTTACCTTGAAAAGGTGACGAAATCTAGCTTATGACGTATGTATGATAACTATAGCGTGAGTGTGACGTCACCAAAAATACAAATTTTCTATTATAACCAAAATATTAATAAATTCCCTTAATACGAATTAAGGGTAGCACCATCTCCTTGCAATACAAATTACAGCTCCCATTGATGTCTCAGTCGAGAAATACATTCAGCTGAAGTTTTTCTCGAAAATCTGACTACGAAACCATATCGAAATTCACGTTCACTTCTGGCTCTCAGTTGTGCTTCGCACACGCCGCTGAGGGCGGCATTCCGGGAACCCTGTGTCTAGAGGTACTATTATCCCAAATAAGCCCCACTAAGGTGTGGACTCAGTTTTTGAACTAGGTAGCCTAAAGTAGGCCTAATAAGTATACATTAAAGACAAAGTTTTTAAGTTTCACTTTCTATGATGCATCGCTCTATCATGGTTGCCGGAAACGGCTGGCTGGTAAAACATTAGAAATTTGTTGGCCTGCATTTTGACTATATAATGATGACGTGATAATGGATTTTACTATATAAAAGTGTCACTTCTGGGCCTCTAGAGGTATTATTTCCTAAAATTTGCTCACGTCAGGCCCAACCATGGTGGCCCTGAGGTTTCAAAACACATTTGCGCCCTTGCCAAAACCACATCACCCCCGAGTCCCCCTTGGTGCTCCGTACCTCACATTTTGCCTCCAGGCATTCCAATAAGGTGGAGTACATGGATAGAAAAAGTTTAATATTAAGATTACTGGAGCATTGGGAAGAATTTAGAATTGAAATGTAGGCTTAAGGCAATTATAAATGGGTCTGACGTAGTACCGCCGTTTGAGGATTGTAAAATTAGGAAAATTCTTTAGATCAAAGGAAGGATTTTCTTTTTTGGGGTCCACCATTCACATGAGCCATGTTTAAGATTATTTATAACATTTTCAAAGTATTGTTTTTTAACTCTCTGTTTTGTGATCTACCACAACACTTAGTAGCTGTATAAAACAATATCATTATACGTGACTATTGCCTAAAGTTGATAAGGTTTTTGAGCTCAGGGATAAGCCATTTTGCATGTGACATGTTCCCGTATACTACGGAAAATGGTATTTTATGTTTTATATTTAAAAGTAAAAAAAGGAATAAGAGATCGTAAACATTTATACAAATGGAGTCCAATCAGTGTTTTGGAGTTATCTTTAACTTTTGATGTTATGCTTGCGAATGTATCTTGGTTGTTCTGGATGTCGAATGACACCGCTTCATGATCACTTACCAGGATCTGATCCATCTTCTTTTCTAATGAGTTTCAATCCAGCAGCGAAATCTAGCAGTCGTTTTGTTGCGTCCAAGTTTATGTTTTTCTTGCAGGCTATTTCAAATGCTGTCATCCTGCCATTATTCTCAAGAAGATCATATAATTCGAGCTCGGTTGTCACAAATAGAGCCTATAGCAACAATATTATGCATGTTAAGAATCGTTTTGATCGGATAGAAGCATGGCCTTTGGCAGGAAAAGACAATTTATAACAATTTACAACGATTATTGTACACTAAAATATGCAATGTAATTCATAATTATTTACATGAAAATGTTTTGAGTACCCCATGTCTTAATGTTCGGATACTTTAAAAATAGCTTTAATATTTTTGAGTTTGATGTCGCATACACAGAATAGGCACAGGTGCCAAAAGTATTATCATTCAGGATAAGACATGACATTTTCAAATGTGTCATGCATGAGACATCAATAACAACAGCATTATTTCAAAATTATGTTAAGCAATATATTCTTGTATGTTCCTAAATTTGGTCATTTTATTATATATTTATTTTATTTGTTAATAAATATTTTAAAGACAATTTCAACTGCAATCTCAAAAACTTCTGGTGCTTCCCTTTCCTTATTTTCTTTTATGAAATTAGATATTAACCAGATATGCATAGGTATAGGTCCAACTTCAAAAGCAATGAATTTGATCTTGTATCCAGCCGGATAAGTCAGATTGCTGAAATTCGGCAACTGGGTTTCGGAAAATTGGGTCGGTAAAATGGCATTCGGCAAATTTGGTTTCGACCAAGTGGACTCGGCAATCTGAGATTTGGCAAACTGGCTTTCGGCAAACTGGTTGAATACGGTTGAATACCATCAAGGTAGCCAAAATTCAGAAATCTATCATGGGATGTAAATGCAATTACTGCATTAGCAATTTTAACAATGTAGGTTATCTCATTACGTGATGCATTTCTAATAAATTATCTTCACATTGGTATGTGTTTCACGTGCGTCATCAATACCATCATCATCAATATTATTATTATTACTCGTTCTACAATATTATAGTAATAAAAAGAAAATAGCAAAAACCTGGGACTGCTGAAAGCCGGTGTAGATATTCACAATGTGCTGGGGCCATTCTTTTGAATTAGAAGCGTTGACAGACGACATGATACCTTCTTACTCTCCACAGATTCTTATTTAAATGCATAACAACATTTCCTGTTTTAAAGACATACTTTACATTAGTAAATCACGTTTCATTGATCTTTGATCTTGTTTTTGTGATCTAATATGGGTACCTCTATATTTCTTCTACATTGAGCATAATCACTTCGCTAATTATAATGAAAGTCAATCGAACTTTGACCATTAACATTTATGTCTCAATATTTTCCATTAATTATGTCTTAAAATGGTCATTAAGGCACCAAAAATTGTAATTTTAACTGTATTAAATTAGTACTAATTCGTGTCCATAACCTCTCTAATGATTGCTGTTTTGGTCATTGTATTCTAAGTATTTCTAGTTTTCTGGGACATGGGACGCTTTTAACAAGACAAAATGCCGAGTCTTCTATATGCTGTGAAACTGCTTTTATGTTCAATTCAATCGTGACGTCTATGTTCATGAAAATCTTATTTTTTACAATTTTCCCTCATTCTAACCGGGTCCTAGCCAAATAAGGATCTAGGCTTGTTTCCCCCAGCCCGGCCATCTCCGCTCTCGAACACAGCGCGTGCGTACAATCCTTTGATCTTTACTGGGCATCGACAATCCGATACTAGTTGCGAGCGCAGCCGTCAATTATTAGTCTATGCGTGCCATACGTTTTATGGTGTTAGTTCCTATTTTATTAATTTTGGGTACTTCGCAATATCTGTTACATCTGATTTCTTTTGACCGCGAGCTTGTTAAATGCTTTTATAAACTGCAATTTGATTTGTGAAAATTGACCAAGAAAATGAAAAGTTATAGCAATGGAAAATTTACGAATTTTATAAAATTTCATGTTCTTATGTAACATTAAACTGTCATTTTGACAATGTTGGACTAAGGTGCACAAAACGAACATTTGAGTAGATACAGAAAATTTATGAATTTTTTCTGCGAAGTGAGTCTCATGAATGACAATACACCACAACATCGGTGAAATTAATGTTGAAATGAAGAATATAATTTCAGTCTATATGTTGGTGCAAAATATCATTAGGCCTTTGTAATCACCGCACGACGCGGGATTATCATGGCAACTAACACGCGCGTGGGTAAATCGTCACGTACGCTGACGGTTTATGTTCTGGTTGCTATGGTTTTTGTAGTCGATGCTAGAGTTATAACCTTTGATGTCCCGAGATGTGCGTCCTTCTGTTTAATTTCCTTGCTTTCACTGTCATCCTACCCGCTATTTTTATTATATTGCGCATAATTAATCGAACTATTTGATTATTTCATTGCGTAATACTTCATTAGATGTAACCTAATGGGAACTTCTAAGGGAGCATGGTACCAGCATAGCTTCATAGCTCTGTTGATTTAAGATCATTAACCGAAATGGTTACTTTTCCTCGCTCAAATTTTTAATCGAAAACATATAATTTACTTCACCACCACAGAGTACAAGCTGATCTATTACTAAGGTTTTTTTTTTATTACCATAACAGGAAAAAATGATCTTACAATAGGAACTAAATGGCAATGCCAAACAGTGGATCTATATAGTCAAACAGGCAGCTAGCTTTTTCAAACAAAGTGTCGAAGGCCACCGACTGTTAACACACCAAGTGGCCAACGTATTTTAATGACAGTTAATTCACCAATGTTGTAGTTGATAATAAGGAATAGTACTAAAACATACATACAAGTTTTACTAACAAGTGCTCCGTTGTGACGATGGCGAAGTAGCAATGATACATGCTTGCGGAACACCAAATAGATAGTTCTAGAAAGAACTGTTGTTTTTGTTGCGTGTCTTGACACTTATGTTGCTTCAATCGTTATCATAGCAACAAGGTTCTTCCTGAAATATGTACGTGGTGTACAACAAGCATCTAGACTATCATGTCCTCGTTAATGTACCAAATAAATGTTCGTATTTACAGACTTTTCAGAATATGAAGCGCTTTATTTCTAGACAAAGATTAACGAAAATCTGAGACAGTATAATTCAAGATTATAGATGCAATTTCTTTAAAAAAAATGTTTAATATTCATATAGTGCACATTGCACATTGCCCCCATGTGCTTTACACAATAACTACCGTACTCGCGCGAATAAGCGCCCGGGCGCTTAAAATATTTTTGCACTTTATGAGGGGCGCTTATTCAAACGGGACGCTTATTTGCTTATAGAAATAGATGAAAATCGAGGGGTTCTTATGGGAAATTATTTTAATAATTAAAAATTCAAGAGGCACTTTTTGAATGAAAAAAAAAAAGATTATATATGGACATTACGAATGGTGGTTAGAAAAGATAATCGTCCAGAGAACATGGCTTATAACAAGAATGCGTGAATATTTACATAACAGCAAAATAGTAGATGCAATTAGTGGTGGGTAGTGGTTAGCTTGTTGGCCATCGGCCGATTGAGATTAGCAGGATGGCAGGATCATTGTATTTTTCTTGAAAACTCAGATGAGAATGTGCTTATAAGGTCGAAAAAAGAAAAAGAGGAGTAGGGCTAGACATAGACAAATATGTAAAAAGATTAAAGTTGGAAATATACTGTATGTCCAGGGATCGGAGCACTCATCTGTCCAAGAGAAATATCCTCATTTTGATATTGACTGAAGAAGAATGTGTTTCCACTCTACAGCTCAAATCATGCCAACAACCACAGTCCCATGATTGATTGGATTATTTGCTAAAAAGAAAATCTTATTAGGGGGCGCTTATTCAAACGGGGCGCTTAAGGGAAATTTTCACGAGGGGCGGTTATTCAAACGGGGCGCTTATTCGCGAGTACGGTATATGGTAGGGCCAACAGAGGAATGAGCGAAAAAAAAAACCAATTAAGTAACAGTAACATTCTCTTCTAAAAATAATTGTGCAGTATTCATTGAAGGAAGGAAATAATAATGAATATTTGTCTACTGATGCTGTTCAACTATAGACCTATAATCCCAAACATACGTGCACCCATCACATTGATGCCTATAGGCATATATATATATATATCATATAT